AGTTGTTTGAGATGCTTAACAAGATCAGGAACATTGATGAGGAGGGTGTTAAGGGAACTACTACAGGGTTGCTTTCTGACAAGGAGATACTTGTTGGAGATAATGATTTAGCTCATTGGAGTGACCATCATCATCATCACCATGAGCATTTGTATCATGGAGATGGGAAGGATAATACAGAGCTTATTGAAGATGATGAAGACAGTTTCGGGAGGAGCCTTGATGATGTTGTTCCTTGGGAGATAAGGCCACCATCTGGGTGTACAAGTCCAAAGGATATCTTGTCTGAAACATCATGCAAGCCTGAGAAATGGTTAAAGTGCAATGACTTTGATGAGAAGAGCATTCTGAACTGTGAAGAAGATTCTAAGTTAACAAAACCGATGATGAGAGACGATGAAGGTATAGTATCATCAGACGTAGGTTTAGTTGGTATACAAGTGGATAGCTTCTATCAAGAAAACTCGAAATGGTATGATTCTCCTTGTGAAGAAGACAATGGATTCAGACATGGAGAGATTTTGTAGAGACACGGTAAGGTTCTGTCTTTATAACCAGTTTCTAACTCAGCTATCAAACACATCTTCTTGTGTATATCATAACTGGGGGATCAGATTGTATATTTATGTATTCGGTAAGACGGCTTCAAGAGTACTATTTTGTTTGTTATGTTGTAGAGCCTGTAGAGGTTTCTTTTGTTGTGTGGTTATGTATAATGAAACTAATATTGTGTCTCCTGCGTATATAACATTGTTGTTAGTTTTGTCCGTTTTATTTATCCTTTGTCTAATTTAACATTTGATACGCATGAGGTTTGTTAATGCTTGCCTTTACACATAGGTATTTCAAATATTGGTTCGCTTTTTTGTAATGAATCTTGTTGTATTTAATTACTCTCTTCTATGTCATACTTGTGTTTGATCATATGCTTATATTGAATCCGGTTTAGATATATTTTTGGTTAAGCTCAAACCAAGAAAAGTTGGTCGGAATTCGATTTCAAATAGGTTCTAAGTAAACTTAAAATAGAGCTTATATCACCAATTCGAGCCCGTTAAAGTGGTTGAGTCTCTCTTGAGTTTCACTTCCCACCAGGGTTCGAATCCATATTGGTACCACTTCCGAGCAATAAGTCTCGAGACCTTCCCAGTTCATTCTGGTGTTTACTGCGCCGGGGGAGACTCCGTGCGGCTTCTTCTTCCACTTGTGGAAAGACCTTTCCCAGTTCATTCTGGTGATATTCTCAACCATTGGTTGAGGAGGTAATCTAAATTACCTCTCTTTTGCTCTATTTTTTAGTAAGTTTGTTTACAAAAGATATACCTTTAGAACCTTTTTGTCGGTAGGTAAAGCTGTAATGTAACGAAACCTTCCTTCTAGGTTCTAAGATGATTGCTTTGCTTCTAATATTAACAATTTTACTTCTTGTTTGCTTTGTTTTATAGGACCTGAAGCTCCAGCAAAGCAAGGCAGTAAGCTTCAACTGTGTAAGTAAATTTAGTAACGTTATTAGGCAGAAAAAGCTCTAAGGATTGATAGTTAGACTGTCATAAAAGAATGGCATTGTTGTTATTTGTCACATTTTTTGTTTGAAGAAGCATATGAAGATGGGTTTGTGTCTTGGATTTACGTTTGTTGTTGCACGAAGCTGACCTCATCGTGGGTTTGCGTGTGTCTGAGAATGATTCTAAAGATCTCAAATACATCTTCTTCTGGTTTTCTTCCGGAGAAAAGGACTGAGTAAACACAATAGGAAAAATAAGCTTTACATAGAAATAGATTGAGGTCCAATTATAAGAAGAAAAAAAAAGAACCATGATTCCGAAGAGACCTCTATTGCCCATAAATCAGTAGTAGTTCCTATGTGAAAATCTAATCATGTGATATGAATTGAAAAAAAAAACATAATTAATGAGGCAAAGGACTATGCCCACTAAAAGTGCTTTCATCTCATTTGTTGTATGTTCTGAGATGAAACCAAATAAACATTAAAAAAGAATGGTGAAGAAGCTTAAAACTANTTGAAAAAAAAAACATAATTAATGAGGCAAAGGACTATGCCCACTAAAAGTGCTTTCATCTCATTTGTTGTATGTTCTGAGATGAAACCAAATAAACATTAAAAAAGAATGGTGAAGAAGCTTAAAACTACTAAAGACTAAATGGCAAGTTGAAGGAACAAGGCAACATCCAGAATCATTAGCATGCTTCAAAATGATCAAAGCTGTTATAATTCAAAATCTATAGTCTCTCTACTATCTACCTCCACCTATTCTTAGATGATGGGCCATCTTTAAACCGTGCATCAAACATAAACTACAGCTTATAAAAGCACCATAGGCTGGGGGTACTGCTTATAATGATGAGTTATGTTGGTCCAAATCAGAATCACCATGCCCACTCATTATTTCAAATGGTACCAAATATGGATCCCCCATCTAGCTTAGTACTCTCATACATTATATATTTTTTACTTAGTTAAGTACAAGAAATAAAACATTCAAATAATCGTTTTACTAACAATGAAAAGGTAAATTTCAGTAAAAAAAAAACAATGAAAAGGTGGATTTATATAAATGTTTGTCCACTATCCTTGCACCGCACACACCAGCCTTAGACCATCTCCAAAGGCATATCTAACCCACTTCTAAGTGAGGTTCTATCTAATTAATTGGATTTTAATTAAATCAAAAATAAGAAAATTAGATAGAGTTGTATCTAATTGTAGATATATCTGGATGCATATCTAAATAGAACGTGGTCTTCTCTCATTGGTTACAGGCTTTAAACAAAAGGAGAAAAAAAAGAGAGTTCCGTCTTCTCTCTCTCGCAGTCTTGAGCTTCCTCTTCATCATCATCTTCCGCCTCTCAATACACATAAACTTCTAACTCTTACTATTCCGCGCCTTACCAGCCTCCACAGCCCTTCGTAGCTCCGTCTCCTGCTCCAGCTCCTCCGGTTGCTACTATTCCCGGAGCTACCGTCTATCCTCAGCCAATTGGTCCCGTTCCCGCCGTATACTCTTACCCCAGTACCAGGTTAGTAGGAGTTTCAAAAATTCGAGGGATTGTTAGCGTTTTGGGGATTTGAGATTCAAATTAGGGTTTTTTTCAAATTCCATTTAGTTTTTGTTGATTGTGTGATGGTTGTTACGAAAGCTTGAATCTTGATGTACGAATTAAAGCTTTGATCTTTAGGTTTTTCTTTTGTGTGTGAGTATTTTGTGTAATAAAAGGTAAAAGAAAAACTTCTATCAACTCTTTAAAAGCTACTTTGTAAAAAGACATCTCTGCATCGCTCTTTTGTTTATATACTATGTTCTCAGGTTCATAAAGCTGTTTGGGTGGCTCATTGCTTTCGTGCAGAGCCTCTTGATCATTGCCTCTCGTAAACATTACACTGTCGATGTTGTTGTTGCCTGGTATGGTTTTACTACTATCACGCAAAGAAAGTTATTGTAAGAACCTTTCTCCCAATACAAAGATAACGACTTGTTGTTTTTGATTCTTTCTCTGTTCAGGTACACCGTTAACTTGGTTGTGTTCTGTCTGGACAAGAAGTTACCAGGTTTGATCTCAGAGCACTCACTTGTTGTCTAATTTGAGAGAGACTTGGTTTCTCATGTCTTCCTTTTTTTCTCAAATGTATTAATATGATTTAATGTTGTTTTGATTTGGAGTATTAATATGATTTAATGTTGTTTTGATTTGGTTGTGTGTAATGTTGGCAGGCGCATCAGTTGTTTCAAAGAGATGTGAAAGCTGCTTTGGCTAGTAGCGAGACAGAACACAAAGCTGAAACTAAGAAGAGAGTTCCTCGTAAAGCTGCTGGACAGTCTTGGGAGGATCCTACTCTTGCTGAGTGACCAGAAAGTAAGCAATGCTCTTATTCTACTTATTTGCTTTGAGTTCTCTGATTGTTTTTTTAAGTTTGGAGATTGTGTAAGAGTTGTTTAGAGATAGGCTTTGGATGTTCTTTGCTCCTGATGCAGCGTAATGACCCTCATCTCAAAATAATTCAATCATCTTAGTAGGCCCTTGACTGGAAATTTTGGAATGGCTAATTATCTCTTGAACAGTGATTCCTTACGTTTAGTAGGACTTTTAACCGTATGAGAAAGTAAAAATATTGTTTTTTTGGTTTAGATAAGAAGGGAGATGTTAGTTGAAACCAAACCATAACTTTTTCGAATGTTAGCTTAATGTTGCTGACTTCTTTTTTTTATCTACAACAGTGAGATTCAGCTCAAGACACCCAATTGGCTGTTTGGTTCAAGAAAGCCCGGAGAGAGTGGCTCTGCCACAAAACCTGATGCAGATGATAGTGAGAAAGGAGTGACCTCGAGTGAGAGAGTCAACGATTTCTGCAACTTGGACTGGCTTTCTGAGTCCAACGATCACCAAGAAGATATCTTCCAAAGGTACCGCTAACTGCAGTACAGGTTCGATTTTATTGAATTTATTCTTTTTTCATCTGCACAAATTTATATAATGGAGTGTGATGCAAGTATTTTTTTTTTTAATGACAAATTTTCAAATTTTTGAAATTTAGAACCCTTGTTTGGTTCTACCATTGGAAGAGTAAAATCTCTACAAGTATCTAAATTTTGTTTTTTGATTAATTTTAATTGAAAAATTGATTTAGATCTCAAATGAAGGTTCTATTGTTGGAGATGGTCTTATCAGAAAAAGATGATACGGTCCTTTAGTAGTCAGCTAGAAGTGAGTTAAGTATCTTATTTAACTTGGACCTAACATTAGTGTCGGTGATGTGGGAATAGTTATAAACATAAGCCCATTGGACTCTAGAGAAATACTAAAATTATTATTATTTTAAAAAGAAAATGATAAAGAACGTGGACCCGAAGGGACACTCTCTTCTCACTTCACTCCACGACCACGTGGGACATTTATTAAGTTCAATTTCCAACGGTCCTTTGCCTGTTAGTTACTTAATTTTCTAAGAAAAATCCACATATTTAACTAATTTCACTTTGCATTGCCCAATGATAAGTGTGATTACTTTTCGTAATTGTAAATGTACCAAAGATCAAGACAAAAACCTCAAACTAGAAAGTTAAGTTTCAACAATAGTAACACCAAAACGAAACGAAAGCAATCAACCAAATCTAAATTAATTAAAAAGAAGATGAACTTAAACCTCACTCTCTAATCCCAGTCTTAACAAACAGAATAACACACACAAAAAAAATTAGAAAATAAACAAAAGGGAGTGGCAGTCTACGTAATTATGAGAGCTTCCGAGGGTGGGTTGGTTCACAGCAACAGAGATGTGGCGGCAAGTGTGACCAATACGGTGACGTAAACAGAACCCCTCACCTGAAACGCCGCGTTTTCAGCATTGCTGTCCTCCGAACTTGTCGGCGAGTCTGACGGAGCTCCTTCCGGCGAATCATCCACCGGAGGAGCCGGCGGAGACGCAGCAACCGGCGACGGCGCTTCCGCCGGAGACGGTGACTTAGCCGGAGCCGGCGTCGGTGCACTCACCGGTTCCGGCGCCGGCGCCGGCGACGGCGATTTCCCGAAAAGCTCCGTCGGGAGGAGAACTTTATCCACCGTGAATATCACCACCGGCGTCTCATCAACCACCGTATCGGCAACCCTCGACGGACCAACTCCGGTGTGGAGAATAACCTCGTCACCAGAAGTTGACGTCGTTAAATCGTATTTTCCCGCGCCGTTAGTTGCCAACGTGGAGATGGCTTCTTTATTAGTCTTCAATGACCCTTTGGGTTTGTACTCAGCCAAGGCGTGATACTCTAGGAGCGAGACCACCTCAGCTTGCGTGAGCCTCGTCAGATCCGGTACACCCTTCGCTCTAAAAGCTTCATCGGACGGTGCGAAAACAGTCAACCCTTTTTCAACGGTTGACACGTAGGTTTTCACCACCCCGCTTGTTACGAGTAAGCCCGCGAACGTTTTGCACCCCGCTCTCTCGAGAAGTCCCGTGAGGTTGTTGAGTCCGTCGGAGGAAGGGGCCGGAGCGGTTAAGATTCCGGGAGCGATGATCGGAGCGTCGATTTCGAGGACGGAGATGTTGTAAGGTATCTGTTTAACTGACTTTGTGTAGGTGGAAGCGAGTTTGGAGCCGGGAGAGGCGGAGCCGAAGCCGACTTTGCCGCCTTTGAGATCGGTGACGTTGACGAAGCCGAGGTTTCCGGGGGCGTTGCCGGTGGTTTGGTAGAGAGTGGTGACGAGAGTGGTGCCTTGGGAGATTTTGTGGAGTTTTATGGGGTCGTAGTAGTCGAGGAGGAGGAGGAGGGATAGGGCGTTTTTGACGACGGAGAGGGGGTGTTTTCCGGCGAGGGAGGACATGGCGTTGTTGTTGAGGACGAGGAGGGTGATGGTGGTGCGGCTGTTGATTTCGTCGGCGAGTTTGGTTTGGGAGAGGTAGGTGTTGAAGGAGGAGTAGTCCGGTGATTCGGAGAGGATTTGGGTGATGTTGTGGGCGGAGACGGTGGAGAGAAGGGTGAGGAGAGTGAGGAGAGAGAGGGAGGCACGTGATGATGGAGAAGCCATTGAGTTTGAGTTGAAGTGTGTGTCGGAGAAAGAGGAAAGTGAGAAGACAGGAGTTAAAAAGAGGAAAGAAATGAGATTGAAACCATGGTTGGGTTAAAAGACTTTAACACTGGTTGGTTTGAGAACACGTGCTTTTTGTTATAAAGCCTGTAATCACGCAAATGGGCTTTTGGGCTTTGTTAACCGTTTATGTCATTATTATGAATAACGTCTGCACTCTCATTTTTGTTAGACTATACTCTAATACATAATCGTTTTTGTTTTCAACATTTTTTTTTTTAACACATTACCTTCTCGTTAATAATTTATTTTAATATTCATTCAATTTGTATAGTGTTTAATATCAACTAGATGATAACCCGCACGCATGCGCGGGGTGAAATTTTCATACTAATATTTATTCATTAAATGGTTTTTAACTTTTTGCAATACTACAGTATTATCGATTATAAAATGATGAATGCAAATGTTGGTATCTTAAATCATCATAGGTCTGGACGTTTGAGACTTCGTCGGTTTTAGTTTGATTGACACGTATTTTCAGATTTTGGTATTATTATCATAAATCCTATTTGAATTTTACTAATTATCGGATTGGATTCGATTTGATCTTCTCAATTCAGTTTGGATTGGATTGTAACCAATATCTGAAATCATCCCAAAAAATATTTATTAAACATTAAAAGTTGACAAAAAATCAAAATATTTAAACTATTAATAAATCTAATTTAAAATTAGTTAAATTATCTAAACAAACTAAAAGATATTAAAAAAAAAGAAGCAAATAAAACAAACTACAAAAATCTTTCGTATACTATAATTTGTATCTACTAACCTCAAACCTTTTCACTGAAATTTTTAAATTAACATATTTATAGTATGAATATCTACTAATGATACTTTATATTCGTACGATTTATGATAATTTGTATCTTCTTTAGAAAAAAACAAAGTTAAACCATTGATCATAAAATTTTCAATGTGGGATTTTACTATTTTTAGTTATTTATGGTCGTTTAAGAAATTTAAAAATATAACCTATAAGAAAAAATTTATTTTTTTTTAATATATTTAAATGTGATTGTTTAATTTATTTTAATAATTTAAAATTAAACAAAAAAGAGAGAGGATACAAAAATATGTATTATTCATAATCATTATATATATGTTAATCATATTAGGTAATTTTGTAACTTTTATTTAAGGAAATAAAATATATTATTTTATACCTAGCAGAGTTGGTCCCTTAAAAGTGTCTATATATTATAGTCCTAAATGTAAGAAATTAAATGTAACATTATTTCATTCCTAGCAAAGTTTGTCCATTAAAAAATTAAAGCTAAGAAGCTCTATGAGCTTAACACGTAAGCATGCTCTCTAAGGTTGTGCATTTATGAATGCTTCAAGATTAATATATTAGGGATGTGTAATATGAATGAAGTCCGTAGGTTATAACCCACTTATATCATATTTCTATATTAGCGTTAAATATAGTCAGAATCAATTTTTAATTGGTCATCAGTAGTTGGTAATTTGGTGCTATCCTTTTCTAAAGTGGAGAAGAAGGTTCTGATTGCCGACAAAATTCATCAACGGTAAACAAATACTTTCATAAAACAAATAAATAATTTACTTTACTGAAATAAAAAACGACATAATAGTCCTACAAAATCTAAAAGGTTAAATCATTACATACACTTAACCACCCCAAATTAGTAACCACTACTAGTGGGCGAAGATGAGGCTTTAAGTGCTTCGAGAATGTTGGGTGAAATTAGCAGGTTTACATAGTTATTTAGCACCACCTGAAGTCATCGATCATCATATTATTCTGCCATTATTGGATTCACCTCTTAACATTGAACATATATTAATTAACCGACACAACTTTTTATTTTTCATTTATGTAGGCTGATTAAACCTGGAGGAACCTATTTCTTGGTATGTATACTTTGCTATGATTGTATACTTGTGTGTATGTTAGATAACCTATGGTGATCCCAAAGTGAGAATGCCTCATTTGACCCTTTCTTCATACAATTGGAAGATCTCTTTATATATACTATGTAATCTTCCACTTCTTTTTACAAGTAATGCTTCTTACGGTATGCACTCTTTGCTTCAGTGTCCTAAGCCCTTTTCATTTCGTTGCAGCAAGACCAGGGTTTAAGAAGCATATGTTCTATGTGTCTGTGTAATCTATATTTCAATTGAATAATATGTCTGAGCCTAAATTGCTCAATCAATAAACTCTAAAGTTTATACTCTCTTTTATATGAATAAAACATATTTTCAAATTCTAAAACTTATTTATTTCATCACAAACAACAAACAGAATCTTAGGAAAAAGGGTTGATTGCATTTTTTCATTCAGAGCCAAGCTTCTGATCCACCACCTTTGAGCTTAGCTATAAGAAGTTTGAAGCAAAAGTGAATGCTGATTAATAAACCATCTTACTAGTAAAGTAAATAATGAAGAAGCTCAAAAATGTGAACAGAGAAAAAAAAACTTACAGCAGGATTGGTGAAGATGATCAACTGTTTATCTTCAGTGGAAACTAAGAGGTTAGTGTTGTCTATGTTCAGAGCCAAAGCAGTTACATCCTGTCCTTCACCAAGTTTCATCACATGGAATGCCTACAGAAGATTATACATCTTGTTTTTGTTACACAAACATATCTATAACATCAAGAGTTTGAATAGTATTGTTACCTTGAGAGTGTATAAGTTAAGGAAGCAAATTGAAGGAGATGGGATGTCAATCTCATTGGCTCCACTTGATGAATCTTCTTCAACAGTGTCTGAGAATGAGCTCACACTAATCACAGCACTTTGACCGTCTATGGATAGCTCCATGCAGCTTATGTTACATGAGGAAGGAAGCTTGGCTTTGGCAATGAGAGCTCCGTTAATGGTGAAGGTGGTGATAGAGTTATCTGATCTACTCCAGACAACTATAACACCATCAGAAGAAACACAGAGAGCATGTGCCTTGACTCCCACAAGCCGTCTTATTAGCCGACCGTTTCTTACAGAATGCAATAACACATCAGATGATTCAGATGAAGACACAACGATCCCTTGTTCTGAGCTAACACAGCAACATGTTATCTCTCTTAGGTGGCCATGGAGCACTTGTATTGGCCCTTCAATGCGACGCTTTTTGGTGTTGCTTGTGGAGGAAGTTGTTGTCTCAGAGCTTTTGTTCTGTTCTGACTCATTTGTCTGAGAGATGACTCCCTTGTGAAGTTTCCACAGCATAAGAGTTGTGTCTCGTGAACCTGTCACAAGGAAGTTGCTGTCTGGAGACAAAGCTAGACATGTTACAGGACCACAGTGACCAAAAGCTGTTTCAAGTGTTTTTGCTCCATCTGATGAGACTAGCTTGATGCTGTTATCCACATGTCCACCTAACCATTATACATTATATCAATCACCAAACATTCACAGAGATCATAGAAGTGCTGGGCATTAGGATTTTTGGTTCGGGTTGATTCCGGTTATTTGGTTTTTGGGTTATTCGGTTGGGGTGATTAAGACCCGTTTAGGACCATAGTTTTTTAGATCGGATTGCTTTGGGTAATGTGGCTCGGATCAGATTTTTTTTTCTTTATAAAATTCGAAGTGAAACCGAATTATAAATAGTTTGGGTTGATTTGGGTTTAAAGCAAAAGTTAAAAAAAAAAAACTCGCAAACTCTGAAAACCAGAAAAAAAATATTTAGGTAACTCAAATTTTGTTAGATATTTTTTACTTATAAATATTTTAAATATAATAAAATTAATTATATTTCAAAGATTTGGGTATTTGTTTGGTTCTGGGTTCGGTATCAGATTTTCGGGTTTAGAAAAATAGGAATCGTTTTGGTTTTAATAAATTCGGTTCAGTTTCGGTTTTAGGTTTTTCGTTTCGGTTCCAGTTCGGTTTTTGGATAATATGACTAGGACCAGATCAGAGATTTTAATAAAAACCTGCATACCAGTTATAACTTCTCCATCACTTGTAATAGCAGTGACCGACGAACTTCTGATTCCTAATGAGGCAAATGCATGTGCTTGAGGATAATCTGAATCACCCTTGAACATACGTGTCAGTGCCCCTCCAGCCTTCCCGTGATGAAAGATGAAAGGAACATCGTTGCCATCAGGAGTGTTAGGTTGCCACTTGTGATGTGCAATATGTGCTGCAGGCACGTTCATGTCAACGACCACAACACTATCAGAAGTGGCTTTGATGGCTGAAGCAGGTAAGTTACACTGTTCAGGAGATGAAACATGATATGGTTTTATCTCTTTTGGGTTCTTAAAGATGGTCTGCATGTGAAGGACATCTTTTAAAGGCATTCTTTTGATGTGAGGGACAGTTAATAGCTGAGATGGTGTTTGTCCAAAAGAAGAAATCTTGTCTTGAGTAGCTCTTTGTTGTACCTTTATGAAAAGATCCAACATGCAAACAAAGTCATGTAATAAACTGAGTAATTTTCAAGAGTGATGCAATAAAGATGACTTACAGGATCTGTGATCTTATCAATATTAACATTCCCCTCGTATGTAGTGTAGAAGAAAACGTTATTGGACTGTGTTGCTTCTTCACCACGTTGCTTATACCCAAAAATGAGATCAATCCATTCATGCAAATGTGCAGAGACATGTTCACTCTCTAGAGCCATTCGTTGCTTGTGTATAAAGTCTATTGGGTTCTTAGCCCAAGGAGGAAGTTTTACAGAATCTGATGAAGTCAAGAAACAACATTTCAGGAGTAATATTTCGTTAGGACAAAGGAAGTAAACACATGACCAAAAAAAACTCATACCAAGCTTATCTCCCAACTGTGTTGTACCAAAGTTGATCAAGTTCTCGTTGGTCAATACCTCAGGAAGGTAAAACAACTCTGGAACCTATAAAAAAAGATGTGACATGAACATGGTGGCTACACTCTTTTACTTGCAAAGAAGATGAAAGTGATTAAAGGTATTTGGTTTGGTGTTTCTGGGAAGCAAAAAATCTTTACCAGCTCTTTGACATTACTCATATCTTGGAGAACACCTTTCCAAGTGGCTGCAATGTCTGAAAACATTCGGTCAAACTTTCCACCTTGTTCTTGAACTGAAAGAGTTGTAA